TTGAAAGATTTATACAGTGATTTGCTTCTTAGTCAACTTTGTTGCAAGAAGTTCTTACTGCATATTTGGGTTAGAAAATGTGCCCTAAGAGGAAAGGAGGGAGGAGACAGCCATACTACCCATGCGATGTGCCATGATATTTATAAGCTCCAAGTAAAACTGGACAGTCTGAAAGGACTTTGTACCCCAAAATTTCTCTGCAGACATTTTAACCTTTTGTTTTGATGTTTTTGAAACTGTTAATCCTTTATGGCATCATCATTTTGTTTCTCTTAATAAGAAGCATGCACTTTACATGCACAGGACTTGAGTTTCTGGGTGAAACAACTAACAGTGACAGAAGCCTACAAGATTAGGCCATATTATCACAAATTCACAGGAACATCTTGAAACCAATGCAATTTATAAGTGCACAGTGATAGTAATATAAAATACAAAATCCTTGGCCTATCTCGAAGATTCCTTTTATTTCTGTTCATGTGGCATGTATATGGGGCTTAGTGGCAATGCATTTATTTGCAGTGTGGGCAAGTCCTCAGGTCAAAGACAGCTTTGTTTATTTATTCTAGCCTCCAGGGTTGGGTTTTTTAAAATATATTTTTGTTTGGGGTTTGTTTGTTTGTTTGTTTTTTTAAACAGTATCTTGTTCGTAGCACAATAGTTCAGTCAGGGGCGTTGAAAATTGTGCTTTGCTATTGCAGATTTTTTTGGGGTTTTGTGGGTTTTTTTGAGGGGGTATGAAACAAAATAAACTGATGGAATAAATACAGTATCACAATATAAAGCCTATACGTGCTCTGTGGAATTCTAGCATGTGCTGTCAGAACGGGGCATCGCTAGTGAAGAAATTAAAGCACTGTGGTGTGCTGATAAACCCTTACAGTAATTCATAGGGGGTTGCAGTCATCATGTTTAGCAAAGGTTTTTCTGTGATTGAGGTTCTAGGGGGAAATATTCTGTAACTTTTGTGTTTACACCACTGACCTACAGCTTACTCTAGGCTGTATAAAATAGGACTACTGCGACCTGCAAGGGGGTCCTCTAGGACGTGTCTCCTCCCAGCTCCTCAACACTGTGTGGTATAGCTATGCCAGTGTATCTTCCTCTCCTTCCTCATTCACAAGACAAGCTCTGCTATTCCCAGCTGAAGCCGCGAATATCAGTATAATATGTTTGGCCACACAGGTGTGTGCTCAAGGAAGAGGTGCCTTAGTATGACTGTGACGATTGCTTTAAACACCTCTTGCACGGCTTTGGGTTGCTTCTGAAAAAGTATGTTTAAAATTGCTGTTAATCTTGAGCTCCTTTTTTTTATATGTTGGTGGTGTTTTATGTTCATCCTGTTGTACAGAGTAGAAAAATTAATAAGATGACAAATAGGTAAATCCAGCTGTTAGGTTAAATACCCAGAATAGGAGGAGCAGATGCATTTCAATGGGAATGTTTGCGTCTTCCACTGTTTTTCCACTTTTACTCTATACCTACAAAGCTTCAGGGATCCAATCTTAATGTGATTTCTAATCTCAGCTGAATGTAATTGCCATTTTTTGAGCTTGTTATTAGCATTCTCTTGATTCATTTGTGGAGCTTACTTGGCCAGTGCAACTTGTAGCTAAGAGTTAGGTGACTTCAACCTTGCCGGTGCAGTTAATGCTTTTCTGGGTGCCAGGATGCACTGACATGATGGATGCTTTCCGGTGGCTGGGGCAGAGCATCCATCCCACCAGCTGCTGAAAGACCCATAAGAGGAGCCCCCTCCCTTCCGGGTTAAGGCTTTTTGTTGGAGTAGAGTTAAGAACTGCACTATGTTGTGATGTGTTGTGCCCCTACATAACAAGATCTGTCTGCTAAAGTAGATCCATTCCCATAGCTTTCATGCCTAAGAAACTCATCGTGCTGAGCCCACTCCACAACTTTTAGCGGTGTCACCCCAGGTACTGTTGTAACAGCCTAGTCTTTTTTTCTTTCCTTTTTTTTTTCCCTTTCCCCCTCCATTAAGAAAAAAAAACAAAAACCAAAACAAAACCAAAAAACAAAACTAAACCCACAGCCTCAGACTTGAAATCACCTAAATGACTAGAGAAGCAAAACCTAGGAAAGCCCGGGCAGGGCAACTGGCCTGATTTTGGCAGGGGAAGGAGACATAAGAAGGGTAGAGG